TTATTATTATTATTATTATTATTATTATTATTATTAATTATTAATATTATTATTATTTTATTGTAACCGGTTTACGTTCGAGTTGAGAAAAAAAAAAATTTTTGCATCGATAAATGTCTATGAGGGTTGCCATTTTTTTTTTTTTTTTTTATTGTAATCGTTTAAAATTTTATATAAAAAAAGACAATAAGTTTTTTTAAATAATTTTTTTCTAAAGAGAGAAAGAGAAAGAGAGAGAGAGAGAGAGAGAGAGAGAGAGAGAGAAGATGATGAAAATGACTTTGCATATAATCTTTACTTATTATCTCTTTTATTACTAAAAATCACTGTGAAAATTAATAAAAAAAAAATCTTTCAATATCTATTATATTATTATTATTATTATTAAATTAACTTTTTTTTTAATTTAGATTTTCATTATAGATTATAAATATTATTAAATTTAAAAGTAAAACAATTCAAATCTTTATAAAATTAAAAAATTTTTTATTTTTTCTCTCTCTTTTTATTTATTTTCAGGTAAAATTGTTGAAGTAAATAGGATAAGAGAAAAAAAAAAAAAAAAACATCAAAATCAAAGGAACAATGGATCCATTTTTCGATCAGACAATGTCTCAAGTGTCGTCAAATTCAACAATATTCGACGAAAGAGGAAATGGAAGTTGCATACCTCCGGCTATGAACCCGGCGATCAATATTGTCATATCTATAATATACATAATAATATGCGTCGTGGGACTCTTAGGGAATACATTAGTCATATACGTAGTTTTAAGATTTTCTAAAATGCAAACGGTTACAAATATATACATAGTCAATTTGGCGTTAGCCGATGAATGTTACTTAATAGGAATTCCATTTCTCGTAGCCACGTCAATATTAAAATCATGGAAATTTGGCGGTTACATGTGTAGATTGTACATGACGACGATAGGAATAAATCAATTCACGAGCAGCACGTTCATAACGATAATGAGCGCGGATCGTTACATAGCAATATGTCACCCTATATCGTCACCGAAATTGAGAACTCCCTTTATAAGTAAAATCGTTGCCGGAGCGGCTTGGGTCATAAGTGTCATTATGATACTTCCGATAATATTATACTCGGACGCGGTCAAAGATGGTCCGACGGATTCGAATTACTACAGTTGCAATATAATATGGCCTACGAATAATTCGTCCGATGTCCAAGGCACAAAACAATTAAATACATTTACGATATATACATTTGTTTTAACTTTTGCCATACCTTTGACATTGATATTTATATGTTACGTTTTAGTCGTTAGAAAACTTCAAACGGTCGGCCCGAAAAATAAAAGCAAAGAAAAAAAAAGATCCCATAGAAAAGTAACAAAGTTGATACTGACCGTTATCACAGTATACGTATTTTGTTGGTTGCCATATTGGATAGCTCAAATCGTGTTAATATTTCAATCGACGAATGATAAAGAAAAAGTTATAACTTGTCCCAAACAACAGGGAGTGTCATTATTTCTCCTTTGTCATTTAATTGCTAATTTATTAAGCAATGCTAATTCCGCAATGAATCCCGTTTTATATGCCTTTTTATCCGACAATTTTAAAAAATCATTTTTGAAAGCTTGCATATGCGCTGCTAATAAAGATGTCAATGCGGCTCTCCAAATAGAAAACAGCGTTTTCCCAAAAAAACTATGCAGGTCGGAGTCTGAAAGAAAAAAAGAAACTGGACAAAAAAATACAAGCATTTCCGGTTCGGAGGGTAAGAAAAAAAATGAAGTGTCACAATTGGTTAGTAAAAGTGATCCTTCTAACATGGTATCAAGATCAAACGTCACGTATACAAGTGATCTTCATTTAGATGAAGATTCCAACGGTAGAGAAGAAA